GGCAGCCGGCACCGCGGCGCCGCGCACGGCTCCACCGCCCCGCTGCGCCGCCCCACCCTCCTCCTCCTCCTCCTCTTCCGACGACGAGGAGGAGGAGGACGAGGAAGAAGAGCCCGAGGAGGAGGAGGAGGCAGAGGAGGTGGAGGAAGAGGAGGAGGACGACGGGGAGGGCAGGGAGGGCCGGGGGGGCAGCGGGTGCTTTCTGGGGCGGCCTCGTCGCTTACTGCGAGGGGAAGAGGGAGATTTGATGACATCACATCGATCAACTCAAACACTTTTGTCGCTCTGTGTTTATTTACTCAGATTACAGTCATTTAGTTTGTTATCATCATCATCATCATCATCATCATCGCGGCGTCTCACCTGGCGGGGAGGTGAAACCGGTTGAATTGCACGCGGCCTCGCTCGTCCGTGCGGATCCGCACTGAAGGCGAGGCCAGGCTGTAGTTCTCCCCTCCGACCACCAGGGGGGAGAACACCGGGGAGCTGTGAGCCCTCCGGCGGCCCCTCTGCGCCGCCGGGGGGCCGTGCGGCGCCCTCTGCTGGCGGAAGGCGGAGATGTTGCTGTGCACCACCGTCTGGACGCGGCGCAGCGACTGCACCTCCTGCTTGTGCAGCGCGGCGTTGCCCAGCGACACCTGGAAGTGGTGGTTGAGTCGGCTGTTGGTCATGGCGCCGTGGAAGCTGCCGATGGTCCTGATGCCGACGGGGAGGGGCTTGGCCCCCAGCGGCCGCCGGACGTCCTCGTGGCTCTTGGGCTGCAGGAGCGGCGGAGAGCCCAAGCTCTCCGACTCAGACTTGTAGAGGCGCCGCCGCTTCTTCCCCCTCGAGCGCGGGACGTCCTCCGCGAGGACCGCCGGAGCTGGACACCAAAAAGGAGAACCAAAACTCGTTATTCTCCTTTTTACCCATTTGCGCTCTTGCCGCTCTTGGCGTTTTTGCGGGTTTTCACTACTTCACCTAAGAGCGGCGCCGCGCCTCCCCGGCTGCCGGGCTCGTCGGAGCTGTCGTCCTCCAGAAGCACCGTGTGGGCCGACTTCCTCCGGTTCCTCGAGGTCGGCTGCGGGACCTTGGCAGAGGGCGCCGAACCCGCCGGCGAGAACGACGGCGGCGTGGAGGGCGGCAGCAGGGCGGACAGGCCGGCGGCCAGGGGCGGCGAGGAGGAGGAGGAGCAGCCGGGGTCCGAGGCGGTGCCGCCCTGGCTGAGGCCCCGCTTGAAGGTCCAGGCGCTGCCCTTCATCTTACTCAGGCTGCCGATGGAGCTGAGGATGACGGTGGCCCGGTTGATGGACAGCTTGGACAGGTCCAGGTTGGCGGCCTCCTTGCGGTCCAGGTTGGTCCTGATGCGGTTCTGCAAGTCGGAGGAGAAGGTGCCCGCCTGGGAGACGTGGCACAAGAACCCGAATTACAAACATCTACCAGGAGCATTAATCATTGCAAATAAACCCCATCAAAAGACGGTCTCAGGTCTTTGCTGCGTCCCTCCCCAGGAACCCGCGTAGATCATTCTCAACTGCTTCTTTTTTTGGGTCCTCAAACAGCTGGTTCCTTTGTTCGGGCTGAATGATAACTAGTCATGGATGTCCCAGTTCTGTTGTGAGGGCGGGACAAGCTCTGAATCACCATCAAACAATAACCGGGGGCTTCACACACTTCTGTTCCTGCACAGCTGCATGTGAATCTGCCCGAGGAGATTAGGAACCGGATAATTGTGTTGGATAGTTCTGAAATATTAAATACAAAAACAGCAAGAGGCACCGACTTCATTAAGCCATCGCCCGTGGAGTGATGAGTGCATGAAAAAACACCGAGAACTGGCTAACAGCATCCTTCACAGCAGCAGAAAGGCCCGTGTGCATTTTCCACTAAAGTCATAAATATTGTGTATTTACATAATGCAACACAAATGGCACATTGAACCATGAGTGGTTATTGTTATCGGTTTCACATGTTCAGGTTCAGGATGCACGACGACATGCAGCTTATCCAGGTGAAGCTGCTGAAGCACCAGAATCCGTCTCAGTGGAGACGCTGAGCTCATGATCCGCCACGTCTCCCTTCCTCATCCCAGCGTACATCAACTTGAAGTTATTTTGAAAATAACGCAAGCTACCAAAGAAAAAGGAAGAGAGATTACCTTTGGAATTGTGATGGCGTCGAAGTCTAGCGGGCGAACCTTGACCTTCTGGAAGAGGAAGTAGAACTCGGGGCTCCCGGAAGTGGACTGGCCCCCGAAGGTCAGCGTGTCGCCGTCTGAGAGCTCCCACTGGACGCCGGCCTGCAGGCGGCCCTCATTCACCCAGGTGCCTTTCAACCCCACAGCAGGAGACGCTTTCATTACCTCGCAGACACGCTCACATGATCAGCCCCAGGAAACCCAAAACTGATTACAGCATTATGAATAATAATAAGGAGTAATAAATGAGGTACGTTTACAGTGGAGGGGAAAGGAGGACGGGCGCAGAGTGGAGGAGCTGAAAGGTACCGACCGAATCCAACGGCACAAAATATCAAAACACGCGCAAATACCACGATGTCATTTCACTGGAAACACAAACGGCTGCTAAACGGACTGTGAAAGCACTGGAGCGCGCTCCCTGATCAGCAGCCTGAGGCCACGCCCCCCCCAACACGTTGGAGCCGGCGGTGGAGCCGGTCCAACGGGGTCTGAAGGAGAAGCACGTCTCAGGGGGAGGACACCACTCGTCCTCGTTGGAAGAGATAAACAACGCTGATGTTCATTGTCGTACCTGCAAACCCACAAGGGGTGAAAACGGGGTGCGTGCCACTGAATGACATCGTCGCCTAACTCGCATAGTTGTAACGGATCAGGATCCACTCTCATGGAGTCGTGTTTTATTGCAAAGATCTTCTCCTTGCGTCACTCCAATCTCGCTGCAGTGACCCCCCCCCCACAGATAAAAACTCTCTGGATCTGCACGATTCACGTGGATGATCTATTTTGATTCCAAAACTGAGAATTTCGCCGAAAAGCAATACGATTGACTCCCAAGAACACAAGTCCATACTCGTGTTCTTGGGAGTCTGGACTGGGAGAACACAAGTCCAAACTTGTGTTCTTGAGGAACGGCCATTGACCCCCGGAACAAGTCAGACGGCGTGAACTTAGATCTGCCACCGTGGAACCTTTAGCCCCACCTCCTTTGTCAGGTATATTCAAGTGAGGTTTTGGACTCCAAGGCCGACTTTGTTAGCTCGCATTCAGAAACGGGCCCCTGGTCGCTATGGTTACCCGCTGGCCCCTACGACAGTCAGGCGACAGGCGCTGGCAATTCAGCAGGAGACGTATGGTTGTTTCCCCGTAGAAGAATTTAGATTTCTTGTAGGATGATGTGTAACGTCCTTCCCTCTTCTACAGAGACTGTAGAGGTGTGTGTGTGTGTGTGTGTGTGTGTGTGTGTGTGTGTGTGTGTTAATTGTTAATCTGTGACCCTTCTCTCACCATGACTGCTCCTGTCCTTGACGTGGACCTTCCAGCCCTCCTCCGGCTGCGCGGCGGCGGCCCCCTCGCCCGCCTCCCTCTCGACGTGCAGCTCGGCGTGGATCCGCGACACCGAGGTCGAGTCCAGCGTGACGTCGCACAGCTCCGCCGCGCGGCCCAGCCGGAACACCGAGTGGCTGAGCGCCGGCCTGAACGTGTACAGGTCCCTGGCCGAGTCCCCGGCTGACGAGCCGATCCGCAGCAGCTGGAAGCACGGCTGCGCCCCCGACGCCATGACCGGGTCGTTTGGTTGTTTCCCGCCGCAGAGCGCCCGCCTGCCCGCTCCCTGAGGCCACCTCTCTTTGCCGGACCCTGACTTACAGGAGGCCGCCATCCATCGCGGGACGCAACTCTTAGCCAGTGGTGCGGGAGTTAGGATGAAGACATTGCAGCGCAGAGGGCAAACACGAAGCTCGCCGGCCAGGTGGAATATTGAGCCTGCATGAAGGTTACGGGCCGGCGGAGCCGCTGTGACCAACAGCTCTTTGCATCAGCACAGAAAGCGTGACCTGCTGCCCTCGTTGCAGATGCATAAATAAATAACGAGGGAATGCTGATCTGTGTATGAGTTGGTGACGGGTGGAAATGAGCTTCTGCACTCAGGAGATCACATGGGCAGATCCCCCCCGTGGAGCGGAGATGTGTGGAGAATAAAAGAGCTGGAGGTCTAACTTCAATGTCTCCAGTTTAAACAGCCGTCACCTGAGCCTGTGTGTGTGTGTGTGTATAGTGATGTATGTGAGATTAAAATCCCAAACTCCTGCCATCTGTTGACATCGGAACAGCTGTGGCGTCTGATCTGAAAGAAAACAAAGCGAAGCCTTGAAATGAAATTTAAAAAATGAAGTTTTTCCTAATTGACGCATTTAAATCGAAAAAGATTTCAATGAACACGATTCACTTGATACAAAGAACACATTTAATCCCGGGCTCGCGCCCGGCGGTTCTACAGCGGGACTGTCACCCGTAGCGCGCTGCTGCGCGCGCCGCGTGCCGCGCGTCAGCTGCACGCGGCGCGCACCACGGGATCGGCGCACAAAGCGAGACGCGCGGAGCCGCAGAAAAGCTCGTTTTAGGGAGGAGAACTTACACATCCGGGCACCAGCTGCGGATATACCTGCCCGCGCGGAGCGACGCGCTGAACGGGGTCGCGCGGTCCTGGCTTCTAGCTTGTCAGGTCTCAAACGGGACCAAAGTAGCTGACGTTAGTTCCGTGTGGGACGGAAGGAAAGTCAAGGCGGCCGCTTACATCAACGACACATCCCTCGCTGCTGCGCCTCCACTTCCCGCCGAGGAAACGCCGTCCGCCGCTCCACCCGCGGCTCCGGCGGCCGGACTTTAAAAGCGGGTCCGAAGGATCGTTTCCGCGGCGCTTTTTGTTTTGTTCGGCCGGGCGTCCGTTGTGGCTCATTCGTCTTCTTCCCGGGAGGAAGTCCTTTGAAATTTGGCGCGCCCGTCGCGGGACTTCCTCACGCTAGAACCCACGTCACTTCCTGCTCCGCCCCTATTGGCTGACGGCCAGGCCGCTTCAGCGGGAGAAGGTCGGGCCCGCGGGGGGGAAGCGGGGGGGCGGAGCAGATCCCAATGGTGGAGGAAGCACACAGTCTATGGGAACTAGTTGAAAAAGTTCAAATGTTCAGTACTTTATAAGAGATTAAACTTTGAATTCAAGTGTTTCAGGGTCAGTCAGGGTGGACCTGGCGGTTGGTGCATAACAGCAGACAAGACAACAGTGCACGAGGAATAAAATAAAATCGCTTAGTTTAAAAATAAAGGAACAAAAGTTAAAGTTAAAAACTCAAAAATATTTAAAAATTAAAAATAATGTGCAGTAGCGAAAATAAAGTGACAAAACAGTCTAGGTTAGATCCTCAGGACGATATATATATATATATATATATATATATATATATATATATATATATATATATATATGATGCATTACACATATATACATATATATGTATATATACATATATATGTACATATATATATATATATGATGCATTACACATATATACATATATATGTATATATACATATATATGTACATATATATATATATATGTATATATATGATGCATTAAATGTGTGTGCAGCAGCAGCGAATTCTGTCTACTTGATATTCTGCTTAGTTTTATCCATAATCACACACCTGGTTGCATTCCACACTACAGCAAGGCTGCATCTCAGAGGTCAACTTGTTGACTCCATTGAATTTTTCAAACAGCTTTTGTTACATTTCAGATGACAGATACTTATAACTTGACATTGGTGAATTTGAGTGAGAACAGACATTTATCATCGTATTATTGTACAGAATCAATGACCAGGACAGCGATGCTGCTCTTATTTTCTCAGAGTGAGCTGCAGCATATTTATTTATATAATCTGATTTGGTTTCTGTGTAACATGCCAACATGAAACTGACAGTTGTATAGTTGAAAACCAAACGCAGAAGCCTTACATTTGTACCACTGTAATGTAAAGTGCACAAAAAGCAGACACACAACAAAGAAAACCTTTGACTCACTGTTGAAAAGTCATTTAATTGCAGTTATTCATTCATTACAGAAAAAAAGAGAACCTATATAAAAGTCTTGGCAGGATGCCAAAAGGCTTTCTATGGAAGTGGTGTATAAATAACCATTGATTTATTCTTCAAGCAAACTAGGGGGTGTGGGTGCTCGTCCATGGCAGTACAGTGAAGTATCATACAGTCAATGATTACCCTCTTAGATATGAAGCATTCACGTGATCTCTTTCAAAATAAAAGCAGCATGCAGGCGAGCCAGTAATGTCTAGTATCAAAAACATACAGGTATGACATAGTTTAATTATTTATCACTTACAACCACTGTCCTGAGGAATACAAACTTAAAAGTCAAATCAATCAAACAACGCTGAAGACTTTTATTCTGACATTCTAGCAACAAGTTCTGTATGGGGGTGAAACCAAAAAAACTGACACCAATCTACACCTACACATGCATGTAAATCAAAACTAGAGAATTCTATGTTATAAATGTTCTTAGTTGATTTTTTTCAGAAGTAACATCGGTAATATTGACAGCGACAATACTTCTACTTGAATTATGTGCTAAACCAGCTAGTAGGATCTAATTTAGCTTTTAGAGCAATCATGACTCTGTGGTTTCCCAAAACAATATTAGGAAAGTGTGTATTCTGTTGAGAGAATGCAAACTTTTAATTTACCATAGAATGATGGAAGAAACCGTGATATGATATGTAATGCAAAAGGAAGACGTACATCTTCCTTCAGCTCAATGATATACAGCTGTGTGTACAGTTATGACAGACAGGGCTCAGTAATTTACTAAAATAGCTGCTCACTATAGTTTTTAATAAATGTTACTAAAACAGGAAGAAATAGTGCATTTGTTTGGAATATTTCGGCAGCGGTTTAATACACATTTGTGTCTCTGGTGAGAATTTCTGGAAGTTCAAATAATGCATTTTCATATTCAACAAAAACATGTGACAATGCAGATGATGAGCGTGACTGACGGGAATACCTTAGTTTGTCAAAATGTAAACCATGTTTTGTCCGTAAACCTTTGTCTCCTTATATGAAGAACTGAAATAAGTGTGTAACATAAAACACACAAAAAGTTGAGATATTTCATGCATTGAGGCATTCTTATTCTTATTGTTATCACCAACACGACACCAAGACGCCCTCGATGATTGGCTGCAACTTTAAAAGGTATCGTCCTTTACCATCACCATCATCTGGATGCAAACACTGAGAGGTGATATTAAAAGTCAGGAGAGGATCATGGGAAACCAGGACCAGACCTCAGCAACGATCGCCAGGCCAGCTATACAGAACATTCATATTATCCCCATCAGCGTCACGGCTGCTGTCCCTCAAGCAATCTACAGGCATGCAGCAGTTACACTAGCTCTTATGTACACGGTGGGACAGCAGATGAAGGCTATAATATCAGAATGGAGAGATACATTGCATATTCGTAGAGGGGGTCGTCATTTTCGTGCTAAATATGATGCTACAAAAAGTTCAGACAATGGCGTGAATTCAAGCAGGTTTGTTCATTCAAAAGAGCCGTGATTGTTTTTGGAGTAAATGCATTTTCCCGGGATGAGGTACGTTAGTCCCAAAGTACACACACTGATTATATAATTGGCATTTTTTCAAAATAAAAAAAACACACTCAGGTGCCGGGGGTTTTGACGGTGGTGACGGACGTGAGTGGGAAACAGAAGCGTTCTCCATCAGGTCAACAGTAGAACCCTTACAAGGGGAGAAGGTTCCGGATAGAACCTCTAGGGACGGGTTCTTATAGATGTTTTCAAAAAACTGTGTTTTTCAGTTTCCCACAATAATGGATCACAGATCAAAATTCAATCCAATCCCAGTAAATGGGTGAGTTGTGCTGGACTGGATTCAATTGGTTGATTTGAGTGTCAGAAAACTGCTTGACAGTTAACAGTTATTCTGACACTTTGCGGAAAACCAGATTTCTATTAGGAGGAGCGGGGAACCAGAAAGCTGTGACACTGCAGACATCTTTTTGTTTGGCATTCTTTGTAATTCCAGATAATAGCAGATCAACAGAAGATTCAATTTTGCCGTCATGCCAAAATCTAAAGGAGACGTGTGGCCTTTACGCTGCAAAACGCTTGTGTGCGCTCATATCTACACTCCTAAAGTATCCTTGTGCTCTTAGTTGAGGCGCTATTTATCGATCTGGATTGTTCTGGGGAGATATCCGCCGTCGTCTGCCTTCTCTCCAATATGATATAACTGCGGTGAGGAAAGGCAAAACAAAGCCGTTAGTTACGTTAGCTAGCTCGCAGGTGCTAAGTGAACTAGCAGCGTTGAGTGTAGTTTGGTGAACTATGTGAAGCGCTCACAACAAGGTCTGTGGTTTATATTTAAAATATATTTTTCTGAGCACAAGCCAACTGCCATCTACCTCCATGTTACATATATACATATGACATATCTATGGCAGATATCTCCAATACTCAACCAAAATCAAAACTATCTAGATTGATAAACATTATTAGCAGTTAGAGAGATATGGATTTTGGGGAGGACAATTAAACAGCTGATCTTCACTCAATTAAGCTCAATATCTTCTCAAGAGATCTTATTCAAGCAGCCCCTAAATGACATCAGTCTATTTAAATAGAAAACTGACCTTTTCAGTGAAATCATGAATGATTTTATCAACATTCTTTTGTTGTCAAAGGAGATTAAATCCATCACGGAGCATTGATGTCCTGCAGGCCTCATGTATCTTAATGGATTTAAGTGTGAAATGTTTTTCTAAAGGAATATTAACTCTAACGCCGAGTGTGTTTGCAGAATAGGAACACTTCACTTAATTATCAACTTCTAGGTGTGTTTTCCCACGGTTCTTTACATCAGTCTACCGCATCAGCAACTTAACCTTTGTTTGACAGCATTTTTTCTCGTTCCTGCTTTGAGTGTTAATAAGAAACAACTACACTGCTATCGTGTCAAGCAGTGCTCTCCTGAGGCGACGGACCGTCCAGCACTGCCGAGGATTTACACCCGGCGTCGCTGTGAGCCCAACATGTGAACATGAGTTAAACTGAGATCTGAAGGTCGTCTCCAGCCATGAACTTAATTACTATTATACCTGCTATGGACGTGTGGTTAAAGGATCTGAGGATCTGCTTTGCTTTGATTTGAGTGTAAAATCTTGCAGTCCTCTTATTGCCAAGTGGATGGTGGTGATGTCTCAGTGCCATTGTAATGAATATTGCTTTATATTGAATTGAGAATGAGTCAAACCTCTGACGATTCATGTGTGATTAGTCCAACTAACCTTCTTATCAGATTTTAATAGACTGAACCTGATATTTACATTTTAAACTAAATCAGTTCTAAAGCCTTGAGCCTGATTTAAAGTATATCTGTGTACAACATTTCCCAAATACGGGAACACGTATTAATGGAAAAGATGGAGAACTTTTTGAATATCTAACTCCTTATTCCTGAAGTAGAACTAGTTATTTTTACTATTGCTGCTCCTTATTTTAACCCTTCATAATTTCAATGTGAACCTTTTTTCGCTGTTGCAAAAGGATCACATTCAACTTTGTGCTTTTCATTCCCCAAAACCCAAACATTTGTGTCTGTTTAAGACTGTTTTTAGCAATCATGCGAGGTAAAAGACTTCAGGTTGACATCAATTCAGGAATCCATACTGAAATCAGCATCCAGTAACGGGTTATCTCCTCGGGGTCCTCGGGACCACGATGCAGATCAATCTGTTCTGGCCAAGTTTGTGAACAATGTTCCCACCGACAGCACTTTGATTCCCTAAAGTTCTAAAAGTTCTGCAGTGGTTTGGCCCGGTGGAGAGGAGACAGTGACAGAGTTCCCCCAGCAGTGTCCTTCTGTGAAATCTCTTTGGTGTTGGTTGGTTTGCTGTGACCTGAATTAGCCCACAGGCTTCTGGCACTGCATGCAATGGGAACCAATTAGTTTAGGTGAGAGCTTAAGCTAATTGACTCTTCTCCTTGTTTGAATCTCTGCCACTGGTTCCACCCTTTTCCTGTGTTCCATTAACGTGTCTTTTCTTTCCTTCAGTGTGTAATTAGGGGGCAGTTTAGAAGCTTCCTGCGGTGTATCTCTACCTCACAAACGCTTTAGAGCGCTTTAAACAGATATCCAAACTGTGAATATCAGTTATCCTTGACTAAATAAAATATGTCTTTGACAGTAACCACCAGAATGTCAAAGTTAATCAGCAGTGAAAAGGCAGAAAGACGAAAGTCTACAGATCACAGCTTCACATCAGCCGGCGTTATGAATGAAGACAAGCGAGTAGTAATGCTGTTTGACTAAAGCGGCTACGCTAACGCTAGTTAACGCTGTGCTAACCAACTCGGCTATTTCTCCTTCCAACCTTCCTCTGTAACGCGGGGGTCTTGCTTTCCGCCATCACAAGATCAAACTGTGGGCAAGTTTCTGCTTTTCTGCTCGACACGTCCGTCGGATTGGCAGAGGAGATGGACAACTGTGAGACTAACCAGACGGTATAATAATAATAATAATATAATACAATACAGATACTTAATGAGTATTACTTTAACCAACGTTTGACCTCGACTAGATCAGAATACCTTAAAGAAATGAAGTGTTTGGTCAGTTTGAATGTGAGGGGCGGGACCTAGCGGAGGGTCAGTGTTTTGCTGCAACTAATGGAAGGACTCATTGACATTAATCATTAATTAATCTGGAGGGAATCATGTCTCCACACACACACACACTCTATAATCTCATATTTAGTCTCATTCATGCGATAACGCTGCATTCTCCTTGACAGCTTTCACATCATTTTGGCGAGCAACTCGGCTGCAATAATCAGAGCTCTGTCCACGGACGGGAGCTGCTTTAAATCATCTCTTATCGTCCCTTATCTGTGCCGCCAAATAGAACCCTTTTCAATCTGTCACCTATTCTTCGTCACCCCTCCTCACTCCATGGTGTACGTGAAACAGTCCTTCCATGAAGAGACCAAAAATCCAATTATGTTCGTTGGAGTTGTTCCAAATGTCCCAGAAGTAGATGCGCAATCTTCTCCCAATGTCATGTTTTGCTGAGGCAGGGCTCGAGGCTTCTCCACTGGGTAAGAACTAAAACTAAAAAACAGACGAGGGTACTTCAGTATCCTACAGTTGGCTGTCCTTGCTCTTGTTTTCTCCGGAATTCCTCATCAGCGTGAAGGATTAGTTTCTCCACGCGACGCCTTCAAATGTGGCGGATTTGAAACCCCAAAGATACGAGAGAGCGTGAAAGCACCACCGGCACTGATCGCGAGCCGAGCGGTTTTCAATATTCAATCTTCAGAGCTTGTTTCAGCTTTCAGGGTTTTCCAGAAAGAACACGTAGAGGAGTGGGGGTTTTTCTTCTCTTTCCTCCTGCATATTGCTGAGGCAAGAACCTTCTGAACTGCTTGCATTGTAGATAATAGTCTTTGCATGGGTGGGATGAAATGCAGTCAGTTTGTCTGAATTCGTGAGAGCTGTCAGAGGATCCACATCGAAACCAGAGAAGAGCTCTGCTGCTAGTTGTTAGCAGCTGAGGGGACTGTGAATATAATGTGTGATTCTGACTGCCGGAATAGTCAAACTCCTTTCTTCTTTTTCATCTTTTTTTGACAACCTTTTGACAGGAGTTAAAATCTTTGATCCCATGTCGGTGTTTTTTGAGAACTCTTTCTGAGCTCGCATGCATTCAATCCTCTAGACCTGAACTATGATATCTACTTTCATGTTTCATTTAAATACATGCATTCTCCACATATGCACAGGGTTGCTCTTCTGCATCTACTTTGTTTGTGCGCGGTGCGTATCATTTTGAATGGTGCATTGTGGGTGACTGCCGTCTGACTCCAAGCAGGAACGTTAGGCCCATGAAGTTGTTCCAAATGCAGAGATGAAGGACTCGCCGGTGTTTGTGATGTCATAGACACAGACAGGTTGTTGTGGGTGTTGCTGCTGCATGAGCTTAAAAAAAAAACACCCGGCTGGATCTTCTCAGGTGCTGTGAGCTGACTCCTCCTTCTGCACGCCGTCTTCGCTCTCAGCCCCTCCCTCCGTCTTGGCCGAGTCCGACCCCGCGGTGCCCCCGGGGGCCGTCCCCGGTGGCGAGTCGCCGCGCGGGCCGCCGTCCGGCTCGGCGGCATCGAGTAATTGCGGATGGGAGGCGGGGCTACCAGCTGTGGCGGTGACGGGGCTTCGGCCTGCACTGAGGTCGTCACCGGGGGCCGGTGTGGCCTCCAGGCAGTCAGAGGGAGCTTCTTCGGTCATGGCCGTAGGGAAGACGGCGTTCAGGAGGGGTTTGTGGGAGGCGTAGGTCGTCCCAGCATCAGTGTCACTGTCCAGCGGGAGGCCGGAGGTGGTGAACTCCACCCCAGAGTCGCTCATCTCCAGAAAATTGTCCGAAAAAAGAGTGTGGTAGCGGCCAGATTTGGACACCTCAAGGCCCTAAGGAGAAGGAGGGAGGAGAGGAGAGGAGAGGAGAGGAGAGGAGAGGAGAGGGGGTGATTCACAGCAGGAAAAATGAATATGAAATGCCCACAGACAGGAACAAGAGGAAGTAGGAGGAGCCAGGAAACAACATAGAAAGGAGGTGCAGGAAGGTGAGGGTAGACAGGACAAGATATGGAGGAGGGGGGGAGGGAGGGTGGGTGGGTGTAGGCCGGATGCAAGGGAAAGGAAGACGTGGTAAAAATTGAGGTCAGGGAAAAAAGTAATTGTGAATAATTCATGCACATGTTTCTAGGACCATATTTATAGATTCACCTTCAACTCTCATGTAAAAGGAACACTGCTTGTTTTCCACGTTACATGGAGACAAGCTGCGTCCGTGCACATCTTCAGGAAATTACATTCTGGTTTTATTAACTGGTTTATGCTTCCATTGCTCCATTGTATTGCTTATCTTATTGTTGCATTCATTTTTTTTAATATATTTGAATATCTGTTACATTTTATTTCTGTGTAGCAAGGAGGGGGCTTTAAACTGCATTTCATTGCGCTGTCTGGTATCTTATAATGAGAATAAAGCTGAATCATGAACCAATAATGCTGCTACGAGAAACATTAATTTCATGTTGATTTTAATGGTTAATATGCTCAAAAACGTTGAGCTATTTGACTGCAGCATCTCTGGGTCTCCAGCAGCGTGCTGCAAGTTCTGGATCCCAGAGAGGAGAAGCTGTGCTCCTGGAGGAGGAGGAGGAGGAGGAGGAGGAGCTGCTGGGAGCTGAGCTCTCCTCTTCCCTCCGGAGCTCTGACAGCAAGTCCCAGGCTGCTGTGAAGCCATATCGGGGTCTGCACCCGGGGGACTGGTCTCTGCAGGAGGCCCCCACTGGGGAGCCAAAGGAGTTTCTGGTGATCCTTTGTGATCCTTTATGAATCCGACACAGTGGAATAACTGATTGTGTTGATTAATTATATTGAGCATCAGTATTGAATTAAGACGGTTTCCATTTCAAAAGGTTCCTCTCAGTAACTAAAAAATATGATTCGTACTAAAGAATCTCTAGAATTTACGGCTGAGAGGGAACACTTGACTTTAACATTAAATATGATAAATGTCATTGTCAGTTTAAACTGAGACATGAAGAAAGTTTTTACTAATTATAAACTGTAGCTGGTTTGATATTTAAATCAACAAATCTGAGCGCTTCTAGTTTCTTTCTGATCTTCCATGTCAGTGAAGAAACTCTAATCAAACCGCTATAACACCTCCCTGACCTTTGACCTCTTCAATGACAACTCCCGGACCCTTGACCGCTTTACTCGCCTTACTCTTTATTTCAGTTACATAAAAGCTCATTAAACATTCATCTAATCTGTTCAACATTCATCTAACGCCGAGTAGAGTCAAAGGTTTATTGCCTTTTAACAACACTTGGCCGGGATGTAACTTGCATTCAAGCAATCGAAAGCACAAGGAGGGTTGGTAAAGATGAGTCCATCCCTGATAGTATGAAGATGTCGTGTCATCAGATTTTAGATATTATTATGCTGCAAAGATTCCTAAATCTGCAGGTCTTTTCCCACTACCCACACTAATGAACAGTTGCAGGTGGGGTTTTTTAACTCTCACTTTAAAACCAGGTGTGTTCTAGTTAACTTGTGAGCCATCTTTGGCCCTCTGACCTTGATCGTGACCTCTGTGCTCTCCGTGGGCTGCTCGCACACAGACTGCATCAGAGACTCCTCGGTGAACCTGGTGTAGGCGTCATGGACCACCTGCAGACCCAAACACAAACAGGCACGTGCACACAGGAGACGCCTAAAAACGTGGCCACCACAAAATATATACGGGGACACGGAGACACAAAAACACGCAACTGCACAGAACGCTAAATACACATTTGATACACTGAAGCTTGTGTGACAGGAGTAAAAGACAAGCTGGTTGATTTGTCTTTGTGGTCGGGCAGGAGGTTGAGAGGAAGCAGAGCCAGAAGGGATCTAATCTTTCAAAAACGTCCATTGAGCTGCAGGAAAGGAGACGTGAGGGGAGGGGAAGGACTGGCAGCAGGACGCCGCGCTCGGTTGGAGGAGTAAAGGGGGGAGAGGAACAGGGGAAGACCACCGAGTTGAAGAAAATACTGTATATGAGAGATGAAGTGACACGCTGGCGTTTAAAAAGGGCCGGTGTGAAGGATTCAGGGTTATTAAGTTATTCCAAACTTTCTTGAAAACAATGGAAGATATAAACTTTCCTTTTACCAAATCCTAGAGAGCTAGATCTTGCAGATGTTTTTGTTTTGGGGTAAAATGTATTGAGTTAGAGGGATTACAGGTCGGTGGCGTCCCTGAAAGGTCGCTGACCTCCTCTCGCGCTTTCTGAAGAGATTCAGGACACGTCAGTGACCTCAAGGGCAACCGCCGCCATCTCAACCTCCGCTGTCAGTACACAAGCTCACGTTAGAATAATCCATAGGCACACGAAAATAAAGGCACATTATAAGCGTTTCTATAATCGATGAGTCCGCATAGACAGGAACACCCAAAGAACACGAGCACACACACGATGAGTGAAGCCCGGGAGTTTGAAATGCTGATTTCACATGTATTGCACGCTGTTCGCTGATATGAGCAGATATGTATAGTGGCTGTTACTGCAGCACTCTGACTCGCGATGGCGTGGAAGTAGCTGTGTTTTTTCCACTAATAGCCATGAGTCGTACTCTCAGAAAACACAGACTAAACACACCAGCTCACTAACATGAGTTCACTGATGTAAACAGCGGTGGTCAATGACACGTAAAAACAGCACGTCTTAATGTCATATGTTGATCGAATGCTTTTAAAAACGTGAGTATGAACAAATAACATCGTACCCAGAAACTGGACAAACACAGACAGACGTTAGAAAACACTTAATGGGTTAATAGTCGATGAGACAGAAGAACAAATCTACTGTTGATCAAGTGAATCACTACTGCTCCTAACACATACACCACACATACAACCAGCACATATACCCCCCCACCACACACACACACACGCACACACACACACAGATACTGACCTGGGAACTCACACCACACAATAAAACAACACTGAAGTGGGAAATATGTGCACGTGAGAGAAACCACACCCTGTTAGTTTGAAACAGCAGTGAAACTACAGGTCAGATTGTTGAAGAGTCACTGATGGTGTGAACAGAGAGGAGAGGAAAGAGAGAAGGGAGAAGAAGGGAGGAGAGAGAGAAAGAAGAAGGTGGAAGGAGAGAAGAAGAAGGCTGGAGGAGAGAGAGAAAGAAGAAGGTGGGAGGAGAGAAGAAGAAGGCTGGAGGAGAGAGAGAAAGAAGAAGGTGGAAGGAGAGAAGAAGATGGCTGGAGGAGAGAGAGAAAGAAGAAGGTGGAAGGAGAGAAGAAGGCTGGAGGAGAGAGAGAAAGAAGAAGGTGGGAGGAGAGAAGAAGGCTGGAGGAGAGAGAGAAAGAAGAAGGTGGAAGGAGAGAAGAAGAAGGCTGGAGGAGAGAGAGAGAAAGAAGAAGGTGGAAGGAGAGAAGAAGGCTGGAGGAGAGAGAGAAAGAAGAAGGTGGAAGGAGAGAAGAAGAAGGCTGGAGGAGAGAGAGAACGGCAGATGAGTGTAAGCGTGACTTCCTCTGATATCGGTGCTCAGCTACAGTCACACACGTCAACACGAGGAGGTCCAAAGCATCTGAACAGGTCACAGTCTCTGTTCTTAAGTTTCAAATCTGATTTTCTCAAAGCAAGTGTCTCCGTGATCTGACCTGGAGCCCAGAGGAAACAGCTTTTCGACTTGCTTTAAGAAAGGGAAGATTTTAGGATGGAATAGTGGATTGTATTACTGAACTAAAGAGGCAGATGTCTGCAGTGTGCACCACGACTTGCTTCAACGCCGTGTCTAAATTGTGAGAGACAGGCGGATAGGAAGCATATTAACAAGTCTGTTTCCTGAGAACATGAATTGGTCTTTTATTTTCACACCATGCTGGAGTTTTTGCATCAACTACCAACACGTTCACTACCAATCTTTTTAGAAGCATTTTAGAACAAACTAGAGGTTTGACTATGGAGGACGGAGGCCGGCAAAATTAGAAGTGAATATGTAAATTATAAATATGTAAATTAAATGTTCTAAAAATAACATTCAAATAAATGTAGGCTAATCTTTCCTTTATGTATTAATGTATCTTTATATAGCATGACAATCTGCTCATTTGAATAATGAAAAGAAAATAATATAGAAACGATGAATACATTTATTCGTATTTACTTTTAATGACATATTAGTGTATTTATATGATTTGAGTCATCTGCGCTTCGGTCCTCCACAGCTAACATGCTTGGCCCCATGTCCCATGAAATAAAAATACTAATGCATACTTATATTCTTCAGCTCAGTCATCTGAGTAGTCTGTAAGAATCACAGAGACAGCTTGTCCCAAGTCGTGGTGCCAGATCCACTGAAGGTAATTTATTGACTTTTAGTCAAATTAGGTCTTCGATCAACTTCTGCCTGCTCACTAGGATCGATCGCAGTTTCTCCTCAGTGTCCAGGATGTATTTAGCCGGCCTGTATTTCTTTAATGGATTGGTATCGTCTCAAAAAGCACAACGATTGATGGAATACTGAACACACATTTCTGAAACTGCAACCAATGATCCTGTCACAGCAATTTGATCAAGGAACTTGTTTGCCAAAAAAAGAGGGAAGCACATTTCTCAAGACGCCAAAGGAGGAGCAGAAGGAAAAGAGGCCAGAACACAATTCTCTCACCAAGAAGAGGCTCCGTTTGAGGCTGAGAGGGAGAAACGCAACGCACAGGCAACAGCGATCAGAGACACGATGAGCATGGAGGCCTCGGCCTGTAAGACCTCAGAAACTAGTATCAAGAACGATAAGACATTCCCACTCAACCCTGGATCAGCTAGAGAGCAGAGGCAAACATTCATGTGACATCACACACAGATATCCAGATGTGTGGGTGGGAATCGTTTTGTGCGTCGGCCGTCTCGACTGCCGGCTGCTGTTGTTTAACTCGGGTCAGAAGCCTCCGTCCTGATTGGTTCTAACAGCCTACTTCACATTCGTCAAAGCCAGTAGGTCATGTGACGAGAGGACAGCAGCATATTTATGGCAGAGGATCAGCTTCGGCATCAAGTGTTGAACTTCAGGGTAAAATGTATTTTATTAATGTAGGTTATTGTTGATAATTTCAGTGATTAATATTTTGTGTTGATCTTGAGTTAACTTAATTTATAAATATGATTTAACCTTTCACCAAACTGTGTAAGCTATAATATAGTGTATGTTTCTGTAATAGTACATTTTAGTTTAATTACACAATAATAACCTCATGAGAAAAAACTGAACTGCAATTGACCAAATTAGTCAATTTGTTTTTTGGATGAATTATTTATTGTATTAACAGCCCACTCAGCGAAAAGCTGTTTTAACACAAATACCTGAACATCCTGCCCCGTCGCCGTGATTTATATCACAGAAACACGAGGAACTTAACCAGTGTTAAAAAGTAGCTGTGTTAATAGAGTAAAGGGTGAATGTATGTTTTATAAGTTAAATATAGCTTTTTTTTTAAATGCTCGATTTGGAATATATGCAGAGTTTGATTTTATAACCCTAAAACATTTCTTGTTATCTTAATCAAAACAACTGTGAGCTTTGGAATATGACCCATTTTCACTTTCTGTCTCTGGGCCGTTTCCAATGAGTGAGTCATTTATCTATGTTGGGTTATTAATTGAACCATGAGTGAAATCTGTTTTAGAGTGTCACACATACGCCCACATCATAGCTTATTTTTCGTCTTCACTGCATGTTGACTAACTCTCCTGTCATTTCAGATCCTCCCACCTCGTCACCTGATTTCCTGCACCTGGTTCTCCTCACCCTCACCCGTGGTGCCTCCCCTCGTCAGTCACTCACTATTTATGCCCGTCACATTCTGTTGCTCACTGCCAGATTGTCTTGTGTGTTTAACCAAGTTTTCCAGCGTGTCCCTAGTTATCCCGTCTACCTCGATCCTGACCTTGTCTGATCCTCGACCCCGATTTACCTGCCTGTCTGTTTGCCATCCTGGTTCTGACCCTGCCTGTCCTTGTCTGCGGATTACCTGCCTGCCCCTCTGGAATTGTTTGCCTCCCGACGGATCTCCCGGTTTTGGACCCAGCCTGAACTTTCATTAAAACCCCTCTGTCTTGTCCATCGTGTCCGAGTCGTGCGTTTGGGTTCTCCTGTACTCCGGTACCAGTAACCGTGACATAGAGATGATTTACTGTTGGTGCTGGCTCAGTCCAATCATTAAGTTCATCATTTAACAAACTTATATAAAATATAATTCAGTTTGTAAAAAAGATTAAAAGTAGTCTCAGCTATGTTCTACTAATCTGACTCTTTAAATCCAGTTATTCAGTGATTTTATGAAACCCTCATTGATCTGGACATATTGGATCTTTCCATAAGGTTGCTTGTATTGAGTACAGAGCAGTCAATTCCTGAGCCCGAGTGGATCGTTGTGTTGACACCTCCTCTAAATCATCCAATCGCTCAGTTGATCTGTCCGTATTGAGCCGGTCATCAGAAGAGAGCAAAGACTAATTGGCTTATTGTTGTTCCAAGGCTCAGCACTATCTTTAAGGCTCTCACAATGAAGCCTTAATTAGAGTTTCTATAAAGGTGGAACTTTTAAGGAGAAAATGGTAATGACAGCAGAAGACATCTGTCAGTCTTTGAGCGCTGGGCCCTACATTTGTAAAAAAAAAAAGGTATCAGAACGTATACGGATCCGGTTAGTGTCACAGTAAACAAACTAACAGCTAACCCGAGCTAATAGCTTCAGCAGTTTGGTTCTCTTTGCCCTGCTCTACGCGAGTAGTAGAAGATGATTTTGGATTCATTGTACATTTAAATTATGTGGATCCGCAGGTGAATTGCTGACGCATTAGTCAGTTCGGAGCATGTGGACACATCTTACACCTTCATTAGGTGGACTAGCTTACCATCTGCTCTCCGGGAGCAGCAACAAAGCCCTCCTCTACATTTTTAATCCGGTTACCCCACATGCCTCACTCTGGCACACCCATCCCTTGGCCTACGGGCCCAGGGTTCGCTCCGACAAAGCGCCAGGTGGGCGTTACCTGTCTGAAGGCCTCGCCGTCTCCCTTGCCGGCCTGCTGAGCGATCAGCGTCAGCTTCTTGCTCTTCTCGCTCCTCTTGTGCATCCTGTAGATGCAGGACAGCAGGCACATGAGCAGCATGAAGGCGATCACGCTCAGCATGGAGAGGACGGCTACAGTCAGCGGAGGCAGTTTATAGGCTGAGAGGGAGACAACGGCAAAGACAAATAACAATAAGACCTCGGTAGAAAAGGGCCTTCGTTGTGTAGATACTGTAGGCCTTTGGGGAGATCGTGCGTTCGCTCACGTCATAACCTCACATACTAGTTGACTCGTCGGCCTTAAATCTTCACTTCCGGACCTCTCGCAGTTGCAGTGTTTAACAATTTATGAAAAATTAATTTTTAACGGACTGTTTTCTACCAACTTTGCAGATTCCTCCCTTCTCTCGTCAACTGCTTCGGCAGCTGAAAAGGCATCACATTGGTGATACCAATTGTATAACGTATGTGGTATGTAGCTTGGTCAATGGCGTTAAGCTTCAAACCGCGGTGGCGACGCTCTGCTCTCTGACGGCGGGTCAATATGTGCACGGAACGTAAAAAGATGTGTTGGGGGTTAGAACGAGTCCGTTGAAGGCCACATTTTGGCTCAAAAACATACGTCCATCGAAAAGTTGAGACTTTTGGCTCAAATTTTGTTAAGAGCCACGTCGGTTAGAGGCGACACCAGGCGAATACATCCGTGGTGCTGTAGTCTCTGCTGTCATTTTGACTGTAAGGAGGCCAGAAGGGAAACTTAGGGCAGTTCATCTTTGTTTGGGAGGAGCAAGGGAGGGACAGCAGGTGGAGATCCTGGTGCACAACCTAGTACCTGGTCTGCAAAGTTCAAAGAAGCGATTCTACCTACGCAATGAACTCCTACCTCCTACATATGACAAATGTAATTGCCATTTGGTTGTAGAGCCTTTGGCGGGTGTGGACAATATCTCTGGCTCTGCTGCAATGGTTTTAATACGGACTATCGTTGGCGTTATAAAAGTGCAAATTGATGAGTTCTATTTTAAGAGATGTTTCGGACCTTTGATCACTGAGGTTTGTGATCTCATTTGCTGCAGAAAGGCTCTGAATGCACAAGAGCTTTGGCTGGCACACTCACACACAGGATGTACCAGCCTCCATGCACTTTATCGCATGTTTTATAATGATGTTAACCTCACAGCCGAAACTGGACTTTAAATCATTCAGTAGGAAACTGACGCTGTTTAAATATTGTAAAGCTCCCAGCAAACCAAGATCAGAATCATACAGTATGTCAATCGTTTAAATGTGTCTTGTTCTCTCACTTTCCACCTCAATGTAGACGTGAGCCACAGGAAACCCGGCCAGGTCCGTCACTTTGAAGACACCCGTGTCAGCCATGTGGACCTTCTTAATGCTGAGCTGTGATCCCTGCACGCTCAGCCTGCCCTCCAGCAGGGGGTCCAGCGGGTTCACCAGGACCCCCTGGTCCACGATGACCCGGTCCTGATTGTCCGACTTTGGCTTATAAACGACGTTAACATTGGAATGTTGCAGGTAGAGTTTTATCTTCACATTTTCTCCATATGAGGGTCGGATGAAGTCTTGGTGCTCTGCAGAGGGAAATATACGAATGAATGATAAACTAAACAGTAATGTGGAAATGTGACCCATCACCTCATCATAGCTTCACCAAGCGTAACCATTAATGAAATTAATTCATTTATATACTTTAAAAAAATAATTTTCTTTCTCGCCCATTGGCCAATAAGGCGTCTTAAAATGTAGTTAAAAAAGAAATTAAATCCTGGATGTAATGCATACATTTAAGTCTGAAATAATATAAACACGTCTGTCATTTCATTTTTCATTGAGTACTAAATAGCTTTGAACAGTATTTTTTAAAGACTGTCAGGTGGGGAAGCAGATATGTTTGTGAGGCTACATTAGGTAATACAAAACTATTTTGTGGTTGGGGTTTAAATATGCAATCAATTTAGAAAATTCAGATATCTCTACACACTTTTTTTGTATACTTATTGATTTCATAATGTAAAAATGAAATCATGTAAAATATTTCATGCCTGAGAAGCTGCAGAGTAAATCATAGAAAATTTTGAGTCTTTGCTATTGTTATTTCTGCAGCTGCAATTGTAACCTAATTTAAAATACATTCATAAAGCACCAATGACCATCCCTGACATCGTCACCTGCCGTGTCACATTTCACACGTGTGATCAATGAGTGCTGATTGGATGCAGCGATGCCCAGCTATCTCCTGACCTCTGACATTCAGGCAGTTCCTTCTCCGGATTTTGCCCTCGCGGTCCAGCACCGTGAAGCTGCCCTCGTCCGCCATCCTGACCGCGTGCAGCATCACCCGTTTCTCCGTCACGCTGAGACGCCCCGCGTATTCCTCCGCCGGCACCGCCGTCTGGTTGAACAGCACCACGGGTGGAGGCTCTGTGGCATGATGTATCTCAGTGTGGTTGGTAGACTGAATCAGACCAGGCCTCAAAGGAGAAGAGAAGGTAAAGTGAATATTACCTTGACGGGCACGCAAGCAACACAACACTATTTCAGCAGGTTTTTCTCATCTAATTGCTAAGTAGAAACATCTGGCGGGACATGAGCTGGAACATTTTTGGTCCCATTTATTCGTTATTTACAACAGAACACACAAAAAAGCATTCAAACATTTCAATACAACAGATGTAATGTATTGAAACAGTCTCTATGCTGAACACACATTGCTGAATGCATTTCTTCCTGTCCATCTGTAACTGACCGTACCTGAACTCCAGGGTGATGGGGCCCTCCACGCGGTTGAGGTGGATGTAGTAAGTGTCTCCATACTTCACCACTTGCTCCACAGCGCAGTCTGACCAACAAGACCAGAGGACATAAATATCAAAGCCTGCAACTCTGTCGTGATGTGGTCACAGTCAGCGGGACAAATCAACTCTGTTGTTGAGCAGAGATTTAAATAGTTTCATGGTTGGTTGGATGATTCTTTAAAGGTTCTACATACAGGATTAAGTTAATTAATGTGGCTGGAAATAATGTTTTCCAACGTACAGCTATAACGTTGGGGGATTAATGTCTCCCTGAGCAGAGAAGGAGGTCTCTCTCCTTCAGAGCTTCTTTGTGCTTCCTTGTGTCCTTGCTCCCATTCAACGGTAACAGCTGATAAACCGTTGCAGCCTTCCAGTTCCCCCCCAGGTAAACACTGTTACCTCCGTCAGCACTGTTGCCTTTATTTGCACTGTTAGCCTTCATAGCATCGTTAGCTTCTAGCCGTCCCCTCAACGATCGCCACGTTGAGCCACTGGGAGGAAAGAGATACGCTAGATTGCTACGCTAGATCTCTAGATTTGGCCCCAGCTGCACAACAACATAAGCCCCGCCCCTCTGACTGTGCTGTCTGCTAAAGATACAGATGTTTTGTAAGTAGTGAATGGACCGTACTTGATAATATATCTCTTTTCTAGCCTGCACACAACCCAAGTGCTTAACACTAAACGTCATTATTCACCCACAGCTTACCCCTGACAATAAGGATGAGGTGCTTGACTGCGTCGGGGTGGTTGGTGTTCTTGATGACGTACACCCCCTCGTCTTCCTCCTGCACGTCCTCCAGCAACAGGTGGTCCAGAGAGTTGATGCTGCCCCGCGGGTTCACCACCCGGCCCGCTCGCATCAGGACCACCTCAGGGAGGCTTTTGGTCCTGGGTTTGAACACAACCTCACCAAGGTCCCCGGGCGGGACATCGATGTGAATGTCCTCTCCGAAGAATGCTGTCCTGTGCTCCTCTGTGACTGGTAACGACAACGGAGATAGTTCTATTAGACATCAATATCCTTCCTCCTCAAGTACTTGATCAGCTGTTCTTAAAAAGGATTTGTTGTTGTGCTGCAATCCAAACAATCATACCTTTTAAAGATGCTGACACAACTGTGAAGGAAAAGATAGAGAGAAGTTCAAATACATTTTTGTCTCGTGGTTTGCTGATTTGTACAAAGAGTCAGAGCTCCTTTGTTCTTACTGGGGAAAAACCCTCATAAACAGCCCATGAAACTTGAAAGTGTTTGAAATGTAAATGCCTCGCTTAATGATGACTGAAAATAGTAGAGGAAGAAACAAAAGTAAAGGAAATAAATGTAAATGATGTAGATCACAAACCAGCTTCCGTGCATTTCACAGAATCTACCCTCATGATTCTGTTGAAACAGATTGTGCTTCACAGGAAGCCGCTCCTCATCCCATCCTGCTCCCAAGTGACTGATTATGTGAGTGCTTACCGGTGCAGAACAGGGCGCTAAGCACTGCAGCGCCGGTTACCTTCATCTTGATCGGTCGCTCTCTGGAATAAAAGAAACCCACACGTGATACACACACACACACACTTGAAAAATAAGGTCTTTGGAGCATTATTACAGCTTCAAAGGATTAAATTGCGACTTTCTAAAAAATCTGCTAGAATGATCCGACTTACTTACAGTAAAGTTCTGCTGCTAATATGGGTGATTGAATTGCAAAAAAAGAAACACTTCCACAAAGAACCAAGCATGCCAATTTCAATCTGTGCTCTCAAGTTGAAGAGAAGACCCCCCCCCTTCGCACTCTGCACCACTCTCCACTCTAAAGTGGTCCTGTAATGTAAAATTACCATTGAGCCAAGTTTTGGCGGGGATGGCCAAAGACATTGATTGAGCTCAAGAGCAGCTCTCCACGTCTCCTGTGGTGCAACGAGTCAATCACCTCTCCACTCACGACACACGACCACAAACCGCAGAGAAACTCTCCGCAGGAAGATTCCAAGACAGGAATGAATTAAAGAGACACGGCGGGGGACGGGACGGTGCAGCGGCGGGAGTGGGACATGCTAGAGTAATTGGACAACGGGATGGACGGCATCCAGCTGGAAGCGACTGTGACCATGTGACCTAACTGCTGCACTGGATTAGACTAAGCAGCGGTGGAACGGAGGTATGTAGGGGGATAATTGGATGGAGAGTAAGTGAAAGTGTGTTTACGGGGTGCAGGTCCCCATTCACTTTGAATAGGGTGACGTCATCAGTCGGAGTCCCTATTTATTTTGTATGTATCACTACGAATTTGTATGTTCAAGATTTTGGTATACATTTTTACGAACAGGTTTTGGAGATCAGGCTGCAACACACGCCTTCATATTAAAGTGGGCAGGGAACACTCCTCCAGAGGCTTTCCCACTGATCAAAGCACATTTTCTAATCAGTGCCTTCAGCATCTTCTACAGAGCCATTAGCTCTTTGCATGTGTAAGCGCTTATACTATAACCGATTCATTGATGGTGAGAATCGGAGAGAAAATGAGATGTTGCTGCTGCTTTAAAACTAGTATGTGAGAAACGTAATGAGGGAAGTGCAGTCCAATGAGTCACAGAGGCCTTACTGAAGAAGCTGTAAGCTGCAGGCCTACGCACCAAAAAAAAGTGTCCTTGGCCATCGCACTGCTATAGGGATGCAAAACAACCAGGAAGTTACTCATAGAAACAAAGAACCACGACAAAGTGACAATTCACAAGTCCAAAACAACTACAAAGAGATGCAGAACCGCTTTAAAGGCACATGAGGAGACCACAGGGTGAAATGTGGTCTCTTTCAATCAAAACAATCACAAAGCTACTGCAAAAAAACTCAAGATCGCTACATGGAGACACAAATTAACTACAAAAAGACACAAATTGGCTGCAAAAAGACACAAAGTAGCTATAAAGAAACACATAGTGGCTACAAGAAGACACAAAGGGGCAATGAGGAGACACAATTTGACCCCTTACAACCCACTGAGGAAAGTTCTGCTGTCCTAATCGGGGTCACAATGGACACAACACAGACTAAGACATGACCCCTCCCATTTGGATTCTACCAACATTTGCATATTTGTTTTATTTTACATTTGGAAACATTGCGAGGAGGGTTGTAAAGGTTCCCTTTGTTCATTCTCAATCCTCAACGTTCCGCCACGTTGTGTCCTGGATCGGATAAGAAGCCCGAGACGAGCATGTAACCTTTGGCCATTTTCAAAGGTCAGACTCTAACTAGGGGTCGCGACTCTCCTGTCTCTTGTGACGACCACTTGAACAGAACCGGGAGGCGCGGCGCTCACTGAACACCGTGGGCCACATGCGGCAGCGGCGAGAGGTGCTGAGGTTACATCTCTCCGGCTGATCTCATCAGCCCGACATCCATCCAGGCTGACGGACTGAAGAGCCTTTTTCCCATCTTCTCTCTCCTCTCCCCACAAACCAGGCATCATGCCTCCAGCGTCTCTTGTTACTGTGTTGGATCATACCTCTCTGCCTCTGCTACCAAGTCTCTATCGTCCGTCCTCTGAAACACTGCGCTGCCTTATCTTCCCTTTGTTGCCTCCCTTTTTCCCTCCTTAATTACCCGTCACACTGAGGGGACATGGCTGATCTGCTGGTTTGCTTATATGCTGGGCTGTTATTGCCCTGATATTGAAAACACAGCTCCATTGTGCTCTCTCCACTATCATTGCTAACCGCTAATCCCATTAGGCTTTTTTATTCATTAGATGTCTGGATCCTCTGACTCCTCAAGTTGAATATCGTGTTTCTAATAATACATTTTTAAGATGAACTGGTCTCTGTAGACCTTCCTGCCTCCTGCACTCCCCCCCTCTCCGCAAGCAGTCCATACAGCCATGAGCACTGATACAGCCGAGGGTGTGTCCCGGCTGGCATGCATGGGGATGGGGGGCTATCCCGTCACGGTGCTGCCCGGGATGGAGGTGGTGGAGGAGATGAGATGGAGGGAGTGAATGAGTGCAGGAATGAGGGGGATTTTTGGGGGGGGGATCAGACTCTGAGCGTAATAACATTCCTTTTTATGAGATGATGCATTCTGCCTCCACCCCTGGTGGTGCACCCCCTCACAGACCTCCGCCGGGGGACCAGTGACACCACATCGTGCACGCAAGCAATGTGCGGATCCCAGGAGCCGCTCTCCCTGCTCAACGACGTCGTGACAAACGCTGCTGTGCGCCGTGGAGCGCTCGGGTACATTGCGTAATCATTTCCAAAAGGATGGAGAGGGGCACCCCTCCATTCAGGCGGGTGCATCCCGCGCACCGAATCAGGGAAAAGCCCTTCAGACGCACATGACATCGTTCTATTCGGGATGTTAACGGGGATTTTACGTGAGTCCTCCAGGATAGAGGTTCTGTGGACGGACAGGAAAGGACCCAGAACTGGAAAGAAAGGAAAGAGGCCCACCGGAGCCCTCTCTGACTGTCCACGGGCAAATGCCGGGATCCTTTGTTTCAAATACAGTGGTATCTTACCGGGTTATCCATTTAAGAGGTCCACCCCGCTCCCGTTATCTTTCTCCGTTATGTGTGTCAATCTGGCTTTTGCTGTTGGTTACACGCCGAAAATCCCCAATAGCGCGAGCAAATAGTGAAAAGAAAAAACTGCGGAATATAACCCACTATCTCCCCCGATTGAATATTTAGGGGGAAACCAGGCAAATCCCTGAAATAAATATGGAAAATTAGATGGTGATAATTACCTTTGTCAAGCCTCGAATCCCCCCAAAATAATCCCCGGACTGGGAGGGGCTCGGGAGGGGTGCTTCGCGCAGATGGCTCCTCTTTTTTCTCTTTATTTCCTAATTCTCATCCACCCGTCACCGATAACGCACTCCGGTGGGGGCCGGGTCGGAAGCAGCGGAAGACTTTCGGGTAATCTCGGGTTTGGGGAATCGGAAGCGTTCGGGAAACTCCGGCAGGAGCCGTTCGTCCGCCTCGCAGAGCCGCTAGCAGCCGCTCTGCGGCTCCGCCGTGACGCGCGCAACTTCTCCGCCGTGACGCGCACGTCTCGGATGGAGCGCAGCGTTGTGACAGAGCGCGTGACGAGTGTTTCACGATCATATCTCATGCTGCTCGATGTGACTAAAGGGCTTTTTGTGATCATCTTGAATGTTTACTGCCAAATAAAGCTCAAGCAGCATCATGTATATTTACTATAGATACGGTTGAAATCCTCCCTAAATCCAGACAGAAATCAATGAATCAAATAACAAAAAGTCCATCTTTGGCGGTTGCAGGGCTGTAATGAACCCGTGGATGGAATGTAATGATCCTTTCTGTATTAGCTGTGAGAACTACAATAGCCATTAGCCATCATGGAAGAGCATTATTACCATGGACGACTGAATGCAAAGGTGCCATACACGTCCTCTGACTGCTCCAGAGGTGAGGGGTGTTCCAAAGGACACTAGAGCAGTGAGCACAGTACAAAGGAGGTGTCAGAGTGGCTGAGACAGTGTCCTCCAGGGGATGCTTCGTCACTGAAACCACCACCGCTGTCGAGATGATCCTTTCAGAGAGAGGTACGTGTTATCTGTGGCATCGATGGCCCTTCACACGCTTCACAATACTCCGGACCGCAATGCACACGATGCAGCATTTGAGATTCTGAGGCTGGTCAAGGAGGAAGCGAAAGCGATGGCAGATGGCACCTTAAAATGAGTCTGAGGGACAGGCCAAAGAGCAGGTCGGGAGAGGACGAGGACTTAACTCCTGGTGCACCCAAAGACAAACTTTGGTCAATCATCTTTTATCCCGCTAACCCCAAGGGCCACGTGTCGGTTGGAGTTAATCTAACACAGAGTGAGAAACGGCTCACACCCTGGACCTGCAGGGCTGACAAACCACCACTCTCATCTTCACAGCCTGACCCTCAGAGCGTGTCTTTGGACTGTGGGAGGGGAGAAAGCCAGAGTCCCCGGTGAGAAGGCTTCTGGGTGGTTCTGGACTCAGCGCCTCCTTGCTGTGGGGCGACAGTGATAACCACCACACCACGGCGCCACACAGACCTCCGTGAAGCTGCTAATTGAGGAAGCAATTTCTCCTGCATGTCTTGTCTTCATGCCTGGCCATCTCAAGAAGGCGGGTCTAAGAGGCACCCTGCAGCCAGTTGTTGGTTAAATAAAAACTGTGTCCTTAAATAGACTCAGCCTGGGGCGACATTGGCTTTGCCCCAAGCTTGCGCGTTCTCGTCAAGGCTGGTATCGACAGGCAGATGACATTCTGGAGGAAGTAAAGAGCACGGATTTTATCGCCTTCAAGCAGGCGAGATGAATGACTTATACAATACAATACATATTTATATCATTCTGATTATTATTTAATATATATATATATATGATGGTGACACAAATACAATTTTTGAAGTGTTATTTACTGTTTTTTTCATGTTGAGATACATATTATAATATATATACATGTTAAGGAATACTGTATATGATACCTTAATTGTTGCCCCACCTAGACCCTCTTTCCCACCAGCAGCCGCTGACAACCTTCCATTTTTGTAAGGTAGTGTGTTTGCTCGTGGTGGAGAGACAATAGAAGGTCAACACTGAGGGTCTCATTGTCATTAGAGGAGGCCTCATAATCAGGGTCCTCCTCGACATCGATGTCTCAGACTCATTGTCTTACGTCCCTTTCATGGTCAAAGAGTTGTTGCAACAGCTCAAAGACAGAAAACCTTTCATTAGAAGTCATTTTCAGTTGAGAAATATCAAGAGAACTATCAGTCACTACCTCACTATTACGGCTCTGGTTATGATCGGTTAGGGCCCTAAAGCTTTTGAGGATTATGAAATTCCATGTTATAGTGACCTCAATATCATCCAAAACAACTAAAACAAATTCTTGTTTTATTCAGCTAAAACAGCCAAGGGCCAAATTGACCCAAAATAACACCGATGTGTACACCATGTGTACAGAAAATTGAAAACATGTCCTCATTTTAATTTTATGTCTTCCAAGTTGTCCCCATTCAATCAGGAGAGGTCATGAAATATGAATTAAAAGATGATGTAAAACATTTCTCTGTAGACTTAAACATTCATGAATGAATGGTGTGAAATAGACTACAAAGATAATAGGAGATCTATCTCTATCTGTATATTTGATCATATGCACAGATGCCGACACTAAGGGTTAAATTCCGGGCCTCGACACCCAGGCTATGAGGAGATATATACATTTCATATTATACAAATTACTCAAATAAATTATTGAAAAATCAAATCAAATGCTTTAAGTTTGTTTAAAAGTCTTTCTTGCTCCATACGTACAGGTGAGGGGAAGAGAGGATGATGAGATGAGAGAATGAGAAGCGTGTGTGTGTGTGTGTGTGTGTGTGTGTGTGTGTGTGTGTGTGTGTGTGTGTGTGTGTGTGACTGACACGTAAGAGGTGGAAAGGAAAAAAGAGGAAGATACCCGGTTCGTGACGACAAGTTTCTATTTTACAAATGCCTTTTTATTTCTTGCTAGTGTTTAACATGAATTCAAAAAGGTTTTAACAGAATCGGGATAACAAATATTGAACACAAATGGCTTCTGTTTGACTTGAATGCTGAAGTGGCTCAGTGTAAACACGTATCAGGTTAAATCATGCAGTTCTTCACAGGTACAAAAAAAACCTAAAATATTAAAATGACTTATGAGACATCAAATAGAAATAGAGGTTGTACTGTAATGGGAAGTATAGAATACATTGAAATGTTACTTTGAATTCCTGGGAGTCAGTGTACATTTTGCCTCATTCCTTTTTACTTAGAAGTTGAATTCTTTCATAGTTCCAATCCAACAGCAGCGACGCTCAGGCCTTTTCTTGTCCAACATGGGAAATAGAAGCAGCCTCTATGAGCCGAGTGTGATGCTCCTCATGACGCTGGCTGGCGTCTGAGAATAATCCTGCTGCTGCTGCCTCGATAAAACTGTGAACATCTTAGGAAGTCAATTAGTTTGTCCAGAGATGGAAACCGACCTTAGATCTGCAGAAGACATACGAGGGGACAGCAACTCACACACAGTCGGCCGTACTGACATGCAGCATTCCCAAGATCACCCCGTTTTCTCCACAGTTTTGGTTTTACTTTGACAGCGATCATGTGACTGGGTATATTTGTGGCTGTCAATGTTTATTTGGGACAGCTCACTGATGGAAGACCGTCCTGCAATGTTAGAGGATTGATGCCGTACTATGTTGACCCGCTGCAGCGCCTTGTCAATGGATCTTTTCTCATTTTGGAGCATTACTATTTACTTGATTTATATTTTTAGGCACTGATCAATTTGAAGGTTTGGGGTAATTTTGTCTTCTTTCGGACCTGCGGGAAGAGGGGTTGGTTCATGTATCATTAATTACTTACAAAAATGCATAGAGTAATAAACAACATGTCTCTTATGTGACTCTAATGAGTCAGCAAAATGAAACAAAATGAAACGAATCCTAAACCCCTTGTCTGCTGTTTGTCATCATCATTTTCAACGCTTATCAGGGTCGGGTCGCGGGGCACAGCTCAAGCAGGGACCCCAAACTTCCCTT